AGTCGGGCCGGTGTACCTTCGGCTGGACGACCCGGCCTTCCGCTCCTACGTCCAGTACGCCAACCAAACGTACGAGGAAGAAGAGGCCGGGGATGAAGAGCTTGGCCTCGACCTCTCCGCTCCACCGCCAGAGTCGTAAGTTGCCTCTAGGGTCTTCCCGTAATTATGTCAGTGTAGCCGTGTCCGCATGCGGTGAATATCCCACGTTGTCCGCTACTACCGCTAGTCAGGTGTGGAAGCACTGACCCATGTCTGCGTTAGATTCTAGTGAAGCGTCCTATGAAGTGAATATGGATGGAGGGGCTTTCCCTCATCATTCACAAATCCATGCATGTTTTGTAAAGTTCCACTTGTATGGTGAACGTGGATTGTGTGGTGAAAGGCTCCCAATCTGAACTACAGGTGGTTTCATGGTCGCATTAGTCGGCAGACGGCATCCTCTAGACTCCACGACCTGCTGGGGGAGCAGGGGGTGTACCTGGTGAGAGAGAGTGAGACTCAGCCGGGGGACTACGCCATCTCGTACCTCAGCCGTACCGGCTACGTCCACCACTTCAAGATCAACTCCAACTGTGGCGACTACTTCATCGGAGGTCGGCAGTTCATGTCTCTCTCGGAGCTCATTGGGTTCTACTCCAACTGCTCCTGCATCTTGGAGAATGAGAGTCTGGAGTTACCTGTTGTTCCTCCCAAGGTGTGTGTGTGTGTATAATGTACCTCATGTGTACGTAAGCCCATCACACATTCCTTATTACCATCGCTTGGTTAACCCTCGGTGTGCATGTGCATGAAACAAACAGTTGTTTCTTTATAAGACTAAGTTTTGATCACGAAATCTGCTCGTCAGCATTTTCGCAGACATATAATTGCCTTTGGTTCTGTAGAAGGACTGCATGCAAATGTACACATGTGGGTGCAATTTTGGTCTTGTAGCAACAGTGATGTGGGCAAAGTTTTTCTATCTCTCCCCATTTCCCACCTGCAGCCAGTTCCTCTGTACATTATGTTGAGGGCCACAGCTCCACACGTTAAGAACCCCGGCACTGATGAACTCACGTAATGTCCAACTAACACTTGTACTACTGTGTATGCTCTCACCATCTTTGTGTGTGTACACATTGTTCACAATGAATAGTACAGTATAATGGGTCCTCACCTAGCATTTGTAGTATATACACAGCCTCTGGAAGTCCCATTGTGATCTTCAAGCAGAGGTTGTTCGTTTTACTGTAATTGAGAGAGAATAAAGTCACTGGAATCAATGTGTATTGTATTGTAAACAGATATGTAAATGGCACTTATAGAGATGTATAATACTCACTGGGCTCTCTATATACATCAAAATAATGCATCAACAAAGTTTCTATCTGTTCCATGCCATGTAAGCATGAATATGTTCAAAGGAGCGATTCCTATAGATTTTCAATGAGATAGTATAAGCAGGTAATGTGAGTGTTCTGCTTTGGCCCCAAGCCTTTGAAACACTCCTAGGCAGACCCACAGCATGTGTCAACCATAGTATGCCACCTAGCCTGCATGCTCACAATTCAGCATCCTTAACTGACAACCTGTTTCTTATATTTCCAGGTATGTAGATGTGCATTACGTATTACGTGTATGTCCAAACTAGTGTACACGTGTGTTTCCTGCAGTATTGATGTGTGGGAGGTGTTTGTCCTGCTGAGTCGGCTGAATGATGACTGGGGCTGGGGTCACTCCCAGCGGTCGGGGGAGAGCGGACTCATTCCTCTCATGATCATGGAGGATGTGGTGAGATGGGGAGTGTGTGTACAGGTGTGGACTGTGACTTAGTTTGAGGTGGGATGTGGTATTGTGAAAGAGAAAGCGGTTAGTGTACATATTGTACATGTAGTTGCATGTGAGGAGGGGGATGTAAGAGTTGCAGGAAAATAAACAAGGAAAATGATATGGTTTTTGAGGAGATGTATGTATGTATGTATGTATTATACATATTTGTTGGATATCCCTAAGCAACCGACATGTATGAAGCTACGTACTGGGGAGTTTTATGAGCATATACTATCCTGCAAGTGCTCGATCGCCAATAATGCATAGTTTTTGGTTCTAGTTATAGCGAGTCTACTTCTCTAACAACTTTCTCTACGTGGAATTGTGTCCTTTGAAGTCTGCCCTCCTCTTGTATTTGTTGCATAATGTCAATGTTTGTACACCTCCTGTGTTTTAATAGTCAATTCCTTTAAACCAGTGTAAATGTTTCATTGTCCTTTGTCGGAACCTGTGTGTGTGGTGTGTGGGTATGGTTGTGAATGGAGATGACTATCATGTCATGTGTTTCACTCTATGTCACACCCAGAGGGCCAAGTAGGCAGTTTTCTGGTGAGACTGTCCAGTGTGGAGAAATCAGAGAGACACTACTCCCTCTCTGTCAAGTAAGCCATTGCTGCCAATCACCCATCTTGTCATATGTATTACTATTTTACTATGCGTGAAAAAAGGATGGGGAGGAGTATGTTTGGTAACGCCTCATTTTGGGTGAGGTTTACCAGTTCGTATTTTGCGGCCATCTCGACACACACGCACACAGCTAAGGTTTACAACATAACCACACGTGCATTCGTTAGTTATCAGAGGTTTTTCCCGTCCCTTGCCTATGTTTTTACTCCACGCATGGGCACAGAAGTACAGCTGGCATTTGATATTGTAAACATTATACATGTTCATTGAGTGTGTTGAGTCTGATACTAAGAGTTATGACTTGTGTGAAATACCTCCATAACTCGACCTGATCCGCTCGCTCTGTGTCCCTTGGGGGCTCAGGAAGTCACAACGAATGACATGTATTGATTCCCGCATGCTATCTACTGCTGTAACTGACTCTCCACGAGCTACTAGCGGGAGTTTACGAGTAAACACATACAAATAGCCCAGCCCATCAATTAGCAGTATCGCGCATGTGCAGTTAGCCGAGGGTTTGCACTTTAGTGCTTTTCATTGTTTGTCTGTAGCTATTCTGGCACTACTGGCTACAAGGCAGCCTTTTGTCATCACGTGAACACACAGACATTATATTCTGTCCACATCGCTGGTGCATGCACTTCCATGAATGCCAGGCGTAAACTAGCTGGTGTGACCTGGGCTCACAATACGTTGTTTTGCCCCAGGGATTGGCTGGCCTTTGCGACATATTGTGAACCTAGTATGATACGATGTGTGACTTTTAGTCATGCATGGTACATTGAAATGACATACTGGTCACAGGGAAGAAGAGTCCAGTCTATGGCAAATGGCAGGAGTTTTATTTCGTCATAAAATACGGAGAACAGAAACTGCTCTACTACGAGCGAGAGGACGTGAGTTCTCCCTTAGCATGATATTATAAACTGTGTCCAGTTTTGTATTATTACGCTTTCTTCTAATTGTGTTTTAAGCGTGAGAATTTCTGCATTGCCTTTAATTTTCGTCCGTGAAGAAACGTCTGACATAAATAATATGCTGTTGGTCATGATTAGCACAAGAATCTAATCGACTTGTGCTTGCAGAGTCATAAAGCCAAGGGACTTTTGGATTTGAGACAGTGTCAAGCCTTTGCCGTGGATCCCACCCTCTTTGGGAGGTATATAATTACAGACATATTCTCTTATATTAACATAGGATACTCAGGCTGGGTGGGGGTAAGTAGGCTTCGTTGCGCTCTCTTTTTATACGAAAATCACTCCCGCTCCCGCTCGCCAACAATGTTCAACATTTCCACTAGTAGAAGTACATACGATGCTCAGGGTGTGGTTAAGGGGTGGGGGTAAGGAGGGTGAGTATCAAGTCCTGCTACATATGTCTAAACTTCCTGTATACCAACCCTACCTAGTCATCTGAATGTAGGAATCTTCTATGCATAATAGTTTATTTGTGTATGACAGGCGCTGTACATGCATTTGGGGTAAGTATGGAGCACTAATTTTCACAAATTGAGGTATGCTTGGTACGGCATACTGCCGAATGCTACAGACTCACATTATACAAAGTCATTTCATTAACCCTCGGCTCACATGTGCTGTGAGGGTTATAGCAAACCATGATATATGTGCAAAGTATACTGCTGCATGCTACAGAAAAATGCCAAGTACCACTGTTTTTTACGCAGCATGTCCATGGAAAAAATTTTTTAAAATGCCACCCGCATATCTCTCCAGACAGACATTTATGGACGCACCAAACTGTACGCTGTCCTTTGAGATGTGTGTGGGTCAGTGGTAGATTCATGGGTAAACAATTGTGGCCCATGCATTAAAAAAAGAAAACTACAGTTTTTAACCAGATTGTTTCAGGCAACAGTCATAAAATCTAAGGTGGAAAAATTGTAATGGCAATCTGAAAAAGTTATGTTGAGAGGTATTCTGCAAAAAAACAAATATTGGCCATGCCAGTAAGAAAATTAACTTATCCAGATATTGTTTTAGGCAAAAACTATAAATTTAGAAGTTGAAAAAAAAGCCACCCGCACATCTCTC